AAATTTCGTAAAACGGTAACTACAGGTAGAGTGGCAAGCGTACAACTCTACATACGTCACGGACATATAGAAACACGCCAATACCGATGTTACCCGTTATACCTACAGATTGAAGTTTGTAGTATGTGCATTTATTATGATCAAATGATTTAACTTGTGATTGTACTATTAATTTTCGAATCAAATTGAATCAATGGTTTATACTTTTATAAGAATCGAGCTACAAGGCTGTATAATATTATGTTATAATATACACGTTATAGTTTTCGAACATGTACATAGATCGCGTTTGATATTCCAAACTCATTAAATGTGCGCGCGTATGTCCTTGTATTCTCTGATTGCACCCGCTGTTAAATAAAACCAAACTCAAATCGACTGTAGTAGTTATAGACGACTGAAAAATGATGGTATTGATTAAAAGGTTTAGCAGAATGTCCAGTGTCTCTATAAACTCCACCCCTCTCCTTATAGGTACCAGATCCCGCCAACAATAAGTCAAATGTTTTGTCTAAATGTAATTACGTCATATGTATAACACCGATTTAGGAATACACTTTTCTAATTCAGTTTACAAAGAAAAAATTAAGAAATTGCTAGGTAAATAAGAAAATTATTTAAGAATACTTAACCACCATATAAAATTATTTCTAATCTAACCTTAGATAGCTGGCAAATTAATGACATACAAATCGACTGATTCCGTTACAAACCAAGATGATGTTGTCAACTATCCAACGGAGTTTTTAAATTCACTGGAATTGTCTGAATTACCACCTCTTAATTTGCAATTAAAAATCAGATCGATAATCATTATGTTCGGAATATACACCAGCCACGTCTTTGTAATGGCACCAGACTTAAATTAATGATAAATTAATGAACAACGTCATCGAAGCCACAATTTTGAAAGGGAAGTACAAAGGCGTACGAAGACGTTTTGATTCCACGGATTCCTTTGATTCCGAAAGACATGGCATTCGACTTTAAACGGTTGCAATTTCCAGTGCATTTGCAATGTTGATTAATATATCTCAAGGGCAGTCGCTAAGTGTTTATGGCATCAATCTTGAAAATCCATGTTTTTCACATGGCCAGTTATATGTCGACTGTTTTCTTGTCGGAAGACCAACAAAACTATTTATATACGTGCAAGATAAAAAAAAAAACTAAGAATGTTGTATATTATAAAGCATTAGAATAATAAACACTTTTTTTGAAATATTTTTTTTATTAATTATACCAATTCGAATTCAATATTAATTATTAAGACAGGAAAACGTCTGTCGGATCAGCCAGTATATAAATAATACCTAATTAATAAATCGATTAGTCCACCAAACATAAAATCGTCATGATAATGAATTGTAATTAATTTTAGATCCAGATCATTAACGAAATAATTTAATTGATTAATTGATACCAAGTATGTTGAGTGTATAAATATATTAAGTATATATATATATAGGTAAGACATAGATAATACTTGAAATCACGCTATGTTTAATATTATAATATTACATTAATTTACTATAATGTAATTTATAATAATCCTTAGAATATTTATGTATTAATATAAGCATTTAGTTATATCTGGAGTGTAGCTAGGTATTATTTTCATCAGGGACTGCCTAACGGCCTAACTTTTTTTGTTAAAAGACCCTAAAATATTTTTCTTTGAGTAGGTAGCTTACTTAAGAAAATAAGATTGTTATTTAATACTTATAGTTGAATATAAATTAGCTATTAAAATAAATATATACGATATAATATAAATTCTGACAAATTAAAGGATATCGATTTTCAAGTCGTATGCGGTCTTCCTTTGGTAGCCTCTAGTCACTGGTGAATGGTACATAAGTACCTAACCAACTATATCTGAGAACGAAGTATAAAATATTAAACAATATTAGGAGAATGAAAATCGTATGCGTAAAGTAATAATAATAATAATATTAGTTAGGTATGTAATATTATTACATACATTAAATAAAAACGATAGATTTGGTTGTAATTATGATTAATGACAAGTTTAAGAAGTACAAGTTAGTATCTAGCTTTCATCTAATTATATAAAATAATGTACTATTATGATTTATATTTTTGTTATCTAGATTCCTAAAAAATTTGCGATTCTCGAAAAATTTTCAAGATCAGACGCAGTACTTATTTTCGAATTTTTTCATGTAATATAATGAGGTGACAAGTTTTAAACTATAGTATAGTATTATCTACAAAAATATTCGCACATGCTCAAACATATTAAATATTTTTATTGTATTTTTAAACCACGGTCATTTACCTTTAAGATTTTTTGGTTTTTATGGTAAACCAAATGCAATATTTACATTTTTAACGGTAGATGAACATAATAATCATAAAAAATAAATTAGCTCTGACTAGAGTAAGTGCAACATTATCTATAGGTCCACAAGGTTAGGTTAATCCTAGTACTAAAAATTTGCTTAAATTTTTGTTAGATTATAGTTGTTTAACAATCTTTATGTTTACATAATTAATTTTACTCAGGTAATCTAATTTTTTATTATCATTACCCAGCCATGTTTATTTAATCATATTTTAATTTTTATGACTGAATTTATTATTATTTAGAGAAATGAACCGATCAATTTTAAAAATTATCAATCAATTATAATAATTATTTTTGCCAAATCAAACAAATAAAATTAAAGTTTAAGTAGAGAAAACAATGCATTTTGATATAATCATAATATATTAAATATTATAAACTATTTTAAATTGTTAATTGCCTTTAACTTTTGATATGAGACAAGTTTAAATTATTTGTAGGCTTTTATTGCTGCAGGTTAAAATAGGTTGACCTGAAGATATAGTTGATATAAATCATTATAACATACTCAATAAAAATAGACAAACAGATAAATTGGACGATTTCAAAAAGAACATTTGAAACTTCACGGTATATTAATTTAATTGTTATATTATTTATAAACTATTCCTGTATATAAATTATTTATTAAATAATAAATCTGTTTTATTATAAGAATTTTCATTTGTGTGATTATAACCATAAATAGGTACTAAAATAACTATCACAAAGCAATTAAAATATAAAGTAATTAATTCGACACTTATTAATTATCTGAAATGTTGAACGTAGGTATTGCTAAGTATAGTTAATCACTTATATTTTAAAAAACATTTAATAGCTATTATATAGTTAAAAAACAATTAATTCGTGTGAACAATACATTGTAATAAGTTTCTACATTCATTAATAGACACAATAAATGAATAAGAATTATTGTTATACATTTGATTTTAAATGGAAATAATTAATATTAATAATTAACTCCATACTTGATAGCTATAAAAATTGGTTTTTATTTAATTAATTGTAGTTTCTTAGACAGTCAAATAATTTTTACATACATACATATAACAATAATTTTATCATATTTATGTTTTTCATTTTTAATATTTACTTAAAGGACAATGGTTTTTTTTTTGAAAAAATGTTGGTATTTAAATTTAATATAAATTAATCATTCTAAATAATGTAATTTTTGGTAAAATTCTAATTATTTCCTATCTTTATGTTCTAAAACATATCATCAGTAACAAAAAATAAATAAAATTTTTTGATAAAGCCTTCTTGCATATAGTCAATATATAAGAATAGTCAGCCATAAATGGCCATTTTATTGGATTCTGTCACAAATTATGAAATACAGTAATTGATAAGCCAAATATATGTTTAAATTAACATTTTTATAGGCCTAAATAATTCTAAAACCTTTATGAATGTAGTTTGTACTCTTTAATTATTTTATAAATATTTTAACTACAATAAACAAATAAATCATAAAATAATAATTTTTTGAAGTATAACTATTTTTAAATTTTTAATCTAATAGTTAAAAACACAAAAACATGCAATTCTATATATATATATATATATATATATATAATTTAATTATTAAAATATACAGAAAACTAATAGCCGGAAGGTTTCTATAATATTATGGAAAAAGAAAGTTATAGACATCTAGTTGATATCGGTAATTTAAGTAACATTTCATCATCTCTATTTGTCTAAGTGTTTCTTAATTTATTAAAATAATACAAAATATACACCATGGAGGTGAGGGTCCATACTTTGTCATATTAAAGACTTATTAGTTGTTGGTACATCAATACCAGGTCATTACACCTATTCAATGTTAGACATTGGTGGTAAAATGTTTTAATGAAATATACCTAACTCAAAATTCAAAATTACTTCAGATTATATGATATAACATTACTAAATTAATATGTATTATTAAAAAAAAAAAAATTGTCAGGATGAATTTCCAACTAAAATTATTTCATATACCTAATTGCATAATTGATAAATTATTTTTAAACAAATGAACTATTTTCTCTTTACAAATCTAAATATTAATGATTTACAATGAATAAAATAAGCAATATATTAATCAATAATTAATTTTAAATCATCATAGAAAAATGTTCAGAGGAAATTAATTTATTAATTGCTATTTAGTTATTCATAAACTTAATATACTAATTAAATAGTTTAAAAATCTTGAACTAAAAAAGAATCAAAATTGATTTATTTCAATACTTAAAATATAATTAAATTAGTTTTGGTTATTTAATTAAGTATTGGTTAATTTATTTTGGTTATTAAGGCTTATATAAATAATGTACCGAGAAAAAAAATTATTTAAAAATAGTTTGACTTTTTTTCAATAACTAAAAATATTTTTAATCAAAATTGAATACATAACTAGTCATAAGTTTTGATAAAATTCTAAGTATGTTATATTAATTGTATAATATTAGTCTCAAATTATGACATTATAAATTTAAATTAATAATAAAAATCTTTATTTCATTATTTTTGAATTTAGTAAAACTAATTATAGTTTATGAAATCTAATACTACATTTATAAGAAAAAAAAAATTGTACATTACACTAGATGAAATATTACTACTTAAAAGGCTTATATCAATACATTTTAAATGAGTATATTAAAAATGTTAAGTGTATTACAAAACAATTTTGTTAACTAAAGAGCAGGATAATCCAGTATTATCTGGTTCAACATTTAATTGTTCCACTTTACCATTTTTGATTAACATTGAGTATCTCTTGGAACGAATGCCACCTAGTGGTGGCAAATCAATAGCTAGATCAAATGCTTTAGTTAGTTCAGCGTTGGGATCAGCTAATAAGCGTACCTAAAAAAAAAAAAGTATTACTAATATAAAATGCATATTATTTCAGAGGTCTAACATAAAAAAATATATATATTATTATTGAGAGCACTTTAAAAAAAACCTATAATTTTAATATGTATAATATATTTGAAAATTTTAGGAAAAATACTTCTCTATTTAATTCTATACAATTAATTATTAAACCAGAATTATATTTTTTTGTTAAATAATGAAAGAATAACTATGACCACATATTATTTCACATTAAAAAGTCCATATTCAAATTTAACATTAACATATAACATGATATTGCACAATTTAATTCAATGAATTAAGTTTTTTTATTGTATTTAAGTGATAATAGTTAATACATTTATAAATCTATAGTATGATGAATTAATATATTTGATATATTTTAAATGGGTTATAGTTAAATTATAAATCTTAAAAATTTAAAAACTTTTCTAATGTATAGTGATCATTACTACAAAATATAATATTTTTATGAAAATTCCAAACATAGGTACTATTAATATTATTATAATTTTAATAAAAACAAAAACTAAATAATTTGCTTGGTTTAATAATAATTTATTTGATAACTATTGCCATTAATTATAGTTATAAATGGGAAATTCAAACAATTTATTTTTATTTTATTGATTTTAATACAATACAAAAATGATTGGATGTTTAAGATTTTTATCATTATAGATTTATAAATTATTATTTATTCATGTAACTATAAAATACTTATAACCATTTGGGGTTTATCTAAAAATTATTATAGAATATGCACACAAAAATATGTTCAATTAAGAAAATATAAAACAATTATTACTTTTCCTTCAGCTTTTTGATCTAGAGCCCAAGCTGCCATGACAAATGCATCATTTACAGAGACACAAACAATTTCATCAACACCTTTGCTTTTTAGGTCTGTAGCAGAATCTACATAGCCTGGCAAATGAGTCTAAAAATGAATTCAATGATATAATAGTAAATAATTAATGCGGGGAAGCTCGAATTGACCTACTTTAGAGCAACCAGGAGTAAAAGCTCCGGGAACAGCAAAAAGTATAACAGTTTTTCCATTACACAGCTCAGATAGATTGACCTTGTTGGCTGGCGTGTTTTCGTACAAGTTGATGCTGGGCACGCTATCTCCAATCTGTTAAATTTAGGCATGCAGTACAACTTTATGGATACTTATTATTATATTTATAATAGGTACACATAAAACGCATTTTCTTACTTTGACTGGCATTTTCGAATTTTGGCAGACGCTTAATAGACGTTTGGTAACCGTGTTCACCAACGGGCCAGCACTCAGTGTTCTCTGTAACGTCACTATAGTGTTAAACATTGTAGAAAATAAAATTATAACGCAGAAATGAGATTATATATTATTACTGAATAACCCAATAAATAATAAACAAGCTATGCAAACGCAGGTTTAACAGTATGTTAATATTGGAAGGGAGTTATGTACTTTACCGTTGGTCCAGCTGTTTGTATATAAATAAGTGAACTTTGATCGACCGTTGTAGACAATGGTGGTCAGCGATGATTTATTTAATAATAAATAATGAACAAATTTATGCAAAGGAACAACGACGTCGTCGAGGATACGTACCTATACACTAGAAAAAAATTTTGAACGTGCAACCCTGTACTTTCTCGGTTCGAAATGATGGTGTTAAGGAAAACCAATGGAAATGTCCTATACGACAACACGTGATAATGGTTAACGACAAAGATCTATAAAGAACCTAACCTTTATAGATCTTGGTTACCGAAAACACGATATTAATCCTTATCATTTTTTGCTATTATTCAAAATGTTCTATTCACTCGGTTACAGTCCGCTGTATTCATATCATACGATCAATGTATCATAAATAATTGACTAGTGGGTCTGTGTTATTAATAATTTAGTATCAAGGTATCTGTTATTATAAGCGAGGGGTTGAAAAATGAAGAAAAATAAAACTTCTAACGAGGTATGTTCTATCCATATTTTTTTTTGGTCATATAGTTATATGTGGTTTCTTCTTTAGCTAGAATTATTCATAAATTTAAGACTTTAGTGTTAACACTAAATACAATCTAAATATATTCTAGTTAATAAATCACCATGAAAAATTATTATCGAACATTATAAATTGGTATGCTCATGCGATTGAAATAGCTGTACATAATTATTAATTCTCACACACTTGTTTTTTGAGTAAAATATTTTATTTTTATCAGATTCTTGACTTTAAATTTATGAATAAAACTCTATCATTTTTGAAAAATTATCTAAATTAATGAAAGAATAGCCTAGAATTTAATTTTTAAGTCTTAAACGTTATCCAGTAGTGACTTATTCTAATTTTTAGATTTATATTTTGTCCATTAAATTTATTAATACAAACGGTTAAAATAATTTTTTTTGTCTTCTAATTTTAAGTTATATTTTTTTCTACTATATAACATTTAAGTATACATTATTAATTAGTTGCAACTTTAAAATTTCCGTTTTTTATTATTTCACAGAAAAATAAAACAAAAAAAACAGGAGCCCAAATAAATACTGATGTCGTAAAAAAGAAGAAATTGACTAGTAGACAAAGGAAAGCTATTACAAAAATTATAGAAAAAAAAAAAAAAAATCTAAAAGTAATATTATATTATTAGATTTATTAGTATTTATTATCTTCAATTCAAATTTTTAACATGTTTTATTTAGAGATCTGAAATGTTAAATGAATTGAAGAATTTTGAACTTTCAACACCTTCGTTATCTTTGATGACATCTATTAGTCAAACCCAGACAAGTGGATTGAGAAATTCATTAAGAGAAAAAGTAACTTTTTAATTCATTTTTAATTGTTTAAAATTAATTTCATAAATTGTTCTAGAAAAAACACCTAATGAAGCCTGTTATGGATAATGATAATTCAGATGAAATTAGAGTAGATGAAGAAGATGTAGGAATAGAACTTGCTGAAAATGAAATTGCATAAAAATTATTTTATTTTAAATTATTTTACAAGACAATTTAAATTTATATTGACGGTGGCCATATAGATTTTACTTCTTTATGTGCTGTTTGTGGTAACCAATTTAAGTATTCTTCTAATAAATCTAAAATAAAAAAAAATTATTTATATTGTGCTAAAATTATTTTTAAATATATTAAGATGTACATGTTGAATTATTTAACCATCGTTTTTTAATTTTTGTTGCTGAGTCGTCACGGTTTTCGTTTAATTTTCGAACAAGTAAATAAAATGAATCTTTCAAGCTAAAAAACAAAAAAATTAATTAACAATTAATATCTATAAATATTTTATTTTACTTACAATTTCATCCATGGTTTAAGTATGAGATCTGGTTCAGATAACAAATATTGTCTAAAATTTTTCAATGGAGCAAATACATTTCCGTTTAGTATAAAATATGCTAACCAAGAATATTTTTGTTCAATATCAGGAAATTCAATTTCAGCCTGTGGTAATGACCATCCAGCTTGGCCTAGAACATTTTGTTTAAATATATATATATATATATATATACAATAAATTCTCTATTAATAGATCCTTTCAAATTAATTTCTTAATGTATACTATAAAAATGCATAATATTATCTAACAATGAATTTTTATATTTTTAATAATGAAGATGACATCTTTGAAATCTATAATTTATTTTTCATCACATGACAATTACGTAAAATTAATAATAATATATTTTATCAGGTGATCATTGATCTATACTGAAATATCTAATTTTTTTTTTAGTGCTATGCAATCTGTTTAGTTCTAAAATATTAGGAATAACAAAATGGAAATAAGGCCCAGCTACTTCCAAATATTTTCTTATATCAAAGATAAAATCAAATTTAGTTTGATAAAAGCAAAAAATATAATTTCTTAAACTGACACACGGATTGTCTTAAATAAACTGAAAACTGAGAAATCTTAATTTTCTAATCATCCTTTATTACAGGCATGTTATTCATACAGCCTGTGATTACCAATATTAATGGACAAGATAAAAAGTTAATTTATGGTTTTATATTTATATATATATTGATAGACTGATCAACAAACCTATTTTATTTCAAATCAAACTACTAACTATACTACTGACACACCACTCATACGAATCATGAACATTGTAAATAATTACAATATTGACCCATTTTGTACTATTTCATTTTACTCATTTCAAAATCATGTTTCCCGTAATGTAATTATGTATATAAATTGATTAACCTTTAATATTTTTATATTTTGTTTTGTTTTATTAAATTAAGTATTTTATTATTTTGATCTATTTTTTAATGCTATGCATTAAATATATTCATGTAATGGGACTCAAATTTATATAATATTTCAATAAAAAATAAAATAAATATATAATAATATAAACATTTTTTTTTATTTTTTCCTTGTTCAATTTTTATGTACGGCTCGCGTAGTAAACCAATTAATATATTTGGCCCACTTCATACTTTGAGTTGGACATGCCTGCTTTATAATCTAAATTACTTTGAATTTCCACATCATTTGCCTATATTTTATAATTTAGTTATTTTAGCCAAGGATCCTTCACAAAAATCATATTATATTAAATAATAAAATTTGCAATGTTTAAATAAAGCCTGGAAATCAAGTACACTTTGAAAGCAATTGTATAACTTTAAATTTAAAAACTAACCTAGGTTTTATAATCATTATTTTGCTATGATATTTATTGAAATGTAATAATAAAACAGATTACCATAAGTTGCATTAATAGTACAGTACATTTTATCAGTTTCTTCATTATATCTAGGTTTAGGTTCATTTAATACTTTTAATATTTTACATAATTTGTTAGCATATACAGGTAGCCATTCAGGTTCAATTGCAGTGACACCTAAATAAATAAAAAAAAAATTAAATCGGCTATAGTGTTAAATTAATTTTAAAATGTTAAATATTTTAATTTTAATCATTTACCTTTAATATACATTTTATTTTGTACTTCAAATATATCTTGATAAACTACCCAATCAGGTTTACTTTTCTTTAATACACTACTATTATGTATGTATACTACTGATAATAAGTTAGATGTATAATAAGCAGCTTTATTTGGCCTTATATTGTTTTTACTTAGTTCATTTGTAGTTAATCGTCTAGCTACTCTATCTAAAAATCCAGCTAATATTATTTGTCTCATTTGTTTGGCCTATATGAAAAAAAAAAAAAAAATGTTAACCAAGTAAAAAATGTCAGAATAACAATTTAATAACTAAGCATACTTGTATTGGTGTAGGTAGAGTCATATCTAAATCAGTATTCAATTTTAAAGATGGTACACTCATGTTGAGTTGATTTATTAATTGATTATTTAATTTCCAAGCTTCTAATATTGATTTTTGATGTAATCCTGTTTTGTTACAATATTCTTGTAAACCTCCCAAACCAGATTTTTTCATAGCATAGCTTGCACCACCCATGGATCGAAGTATAACCATTAGGTCACCTAGATTATGTTTATATACATATTTTTAAATAATAAAATAATATTTATTTTATATTGATTTAGAGTAATTTTTTATTATCAAGACAAAAGTCTTTTTTTAGACTCAAAATATGATCATCATATTGACCTTTAGTATGCCATTGGTTAAATATAATACTGTTATACCAACTATCAATTTACTATTAATTTAAATGTATTGTTAAGCAGATGAATTTTAGAGTTAAATAAGAATTATATAAATGTCATTTTGAAAACCAATTTTCAATCAACACAGAACAACAACTATTATGAAGTTTTATTCATGAATTATGAATTATAGATATTTATATAAATTGGTTATAATGGTAATATCCCCGAGAAGAATTTACTCAACAAAATTTAAGAATATATTGAAGAAAATTGGTCATTAAAAATGAACCATTAAGTGTATATTTTATTATAACATACTAGTTAAATTACCCGTAAAAAAGGCCTGTTCTTTTATATATATATATAAAGATACAAATTTAATGGGGATACCCATAGAGGGCTCTACAGGTGTGTCGGGTGTGCCTTGGCACATCCTAATGTGAATAATGTGAATAAAAAAATTGAATAATTACAATTAAGAATATATGTGCATATACATTAATTAAATTTTAGTTTTTTAAGTAATACTGCAAGTGTTCAGAATAATTCTGAAATAATAATTACGTGCATTTTTTACCATTCGTTATTTTACATAACTAAGCCTTTATTTTCAGAATTTAAATCATTACACGGTTTACATGTACATGTTTATAGCCCCCCACCTTTATATTTTGAAAAAATGACAGAGCACACTCAAATGTAAGACTTTGGGTTCGCCTATGGGGATACCACTAAATTGTAAGTTGTCATACAAAATAAAAAGTACATATTTAAACCATTAAAATGTTTGACTAATTAAATACTATTTTAATATAATTTTCAAATATTAATATTACTTTAGCTGAAAAAAATGATTTATTACAAGTTCTCATTTTAATTTTCCAGCTAACTTTGCAACTAAATATAAAACAATTATATCAAATAATCAAAAAAAAATTTGGTTTGACAACTTTGATTTACCTAGACCTACTATTGTCCATTATAATTTACTTTTCATGGGTCATTTGCTACTACCATATCACACTAAGTAACTTGGATTAAATGACTCCTCTTTATACATTACACTTAACAGAAAGTGTATGATATCTCTCACATTTACTCTTTGACTGTCCTTTATTATATACTAATTGCTTAGTATTACTGAGTTACCTGAAATCTCTTTACATTCCCTTCATATCTTCTTAATACTTAACATAAAATTCGAAGTAGTCATCAAAAATATAATAAACTTTGTATTAGAATCTTGTTTTGTTATTTAATTATATATTATTATTCTTGTAAGATATTTTAATTTTAATTTTGTGAGTATTATATAATAACATATCTTTTGAATAATTATTTTATAGTTAATATGTTTTATGTTAAAATGTGTTATGAATATACCCAGGAGTAAAAATTCGCCTTTGACAACCCATGAAAGTTTTGTTTTTTTCCAAGCCTCAACATTTTCTCCAGGTAAATACTCTTGCACTGACATAGCAGAAATTATATACAACATATATTGTATTAAAATACGGTCTTTACTCAAACACAACATCTTAGCATAATGAGGAGATAATGGAAAAGCCGCCATACTTTTTCCTAAAGGTGTAATGTTGTTGACATCTAAACATAATTTATAATAATTATTCATTATAAAATATTTAATTACATTTTAATTAATTTATTTTATTGGGTTTACCATTGTTACCAACTTCTAAGGCACCTAGTAAAATTAATCTTTTTTCTGCTTCTATAATAGTTTGTTTATCTGGCATTGTTGGAAATGGAAAACTAATTATTTTATCAATTTTCATATTTTTCATTTGTAAAATAACATTATCAATAGGTGTGGTTTTTATTTCAGGCAAACTCCATTCAGGAAACTCATCATTGAATAGTGCAGATGAAAATAGCCTTTAAAATAAATAAAACCATGAAAAATATTTTTTGTATTTAACATACGTAATTATAAAATACTTGTTATTAAAATAACATAACACATTTTAATTTTAATGAAAATCTTTTAATTCATTTGAAGTTTTGAAGGTTTACAATAATAATTAAGGAAATACTTTTTAACAAAATATGATTATGTGGGCTCTGGTATTCACTAATATCAAATTAATTAAATGTTTTATATATATTAAAATATCAATCAATATTGTAATGTAAAAAAATATTACATTGTACTACAATGTTTATAAATTTGATTTCTTAATTATAATTTTGGAATTCAAATACCTGCAGATTTTATACTTAATTTTTGTTAACATTTAAATAGTAACAATATTAAGTATCATAGGCAGACATTGGTAGGAGGGGAGGGGGCTGAGCCCCCCAAATATTTGAAGAGCCCCTCCAAAATCGAAACTTTGTTAGAAATGTTATTCATTGTTTTTATAGTTATCTGCTCATTATTTTGAAAATCATAAAATAAAAATAATAAAAAACTATTTACAATAGCATTAACAATACCAATTAGTTCGACTACTTGCGAAAGAAGTTTCAGTGCAATGAAAAAAATAAAAACTTGGCTAAGGACATCGTTTGTTCAAGATAGGTTCAGCGATCTTTCATTACTATATATTGAAAAAGATATATCAAAAATATAAAAAGTGATGATATTTTGAATATCCTTGCTGATACAAATCAATATTTGTCATTAAAATAAAATATTAATTATTTTTAAATAAACGTTATATAGTGTTTTTTTAATACAATTTAAACATATCTATATTTTTAATAGTAATAAGTTTGACTTATGCATGGGAAGGGGGTGTGGGGACGAAGCCTCTGCGGGTTATTTTAAATTGAATTATTTTAACACCCCAAAAATTCAATGAAATGTCCGCCTATATTAAATATTGACATTTTTTAATTGTATTTACCTACAAAAAAATACAGATCTAGAAATGAAAAAAGTTGGGCTAGTAAAGTGACTTACTGCTATAATATGTTGTGTATGTCGATTTATAGTATTTTTTTAAATATTTTAGGTAATAGTGTCTGATATGGCTCTACCTAATGTCTAAGAGGGGATTTAGCACCCATAATTACCCCATAACCCCCCGTCCTTGTATGCACTGACTACAAATTCAAAGTTTTTTTTTCACAATTCATAATATATTACCAACTCATTCTGTTTCTAACTACTACATTAGCCAGTTCATACAAATTTAAAAAAAAAAACAACAATCTGAAAAACACTTATTCATCTTATAAAATCATTTATAAGATGAATTTTTTTTAACTTAGATTAATTTCAAAATTCATTAAAAAAAATTTTTAAAATGTTCATAAATATAATTTTACTATTATAATCGAACCGATAACAATGTCCAGGTGAAGTTCTTCCAGCTCTTCCTGCTCTTTGATTAGCAGATGCTTTACTTTCCCAAACAATTGAAAATCTCGAAACACTTGTCAATGGATCATATTCCTTAACTTTAGTTTTTCCACAGTCAACAACATATTTAACATTAGGTATAGTTAAAGAAAGTTCTGCGACATTTGTACTAACAACACACAAGCGACAACCTGAAGGAGGAGCTTCAAATATCTATAAAATTGAATTGAATTTTTATAAATCTTTATGTAGTACATGCAATAATTTTACCTTTGATTGTTTATGAACAGGTAACATTGAATAAAGGGGAAGCACCCATAGTGGTGAAGATGTTAATCTCATAATTTTTCTTGGTACTTCATCATTATCTTCATCATTACTAGAGTTTTCCGAAAGTGTTAATTCATCATCTGAATGTCTTTCAATATCATAGTCATCTAAATTAATATCAGGCAAAGGTTTTGACATTTCTTTTTTAAGGTTTGTTTTACATTTTGTCTTAGAACCAACTTCAAAATCAGATTCTTTGTATGGGAATACTTTACGGAGCTTCAATACTAATTGTCTAACTTCTAACTTTCCTATTAAATAATGATTTTTAAATAAAAACTAATATTACATCAAATAATAATATATTAGAATATTGATTATTCACACTACACAACTTTGTATTTTTAAATATTTTCATATTTCAATATTTATAATATTTTGAGATTTACAAAAGTATTTATTTAAAATTAATTGCATACAGTTATGTGAAGTGTACAAATAATATCAATGTCATACATTTTTAATTATTTAAATTATCTACATAATTTTATTATACACCACTTCCTATCCAACTGTTGCCCTATGTGTGAATAATTGATACTCTATTACAGTGGTGGCCAAACTATGGCCTGCCATCATTGAATATCTGACCTGTGAAAGTATTCTACATTACAACACTTATTTGCGTAAGTGTAATATTTTAAATTTGTGTAAAAAAAAAAATTGAAAAATACATTTTTTTATAGTTCAAGGTAAAAAAAGTTTGGCTACCACTGCTCTATTATACATTTACAAATTGTATATAAAGATGTACCAGTTAAAAACACTAAAATAGCACCAGCTGGTAATTTAGTATGAATTTTATATACTTTGTTATATGCTTCAGCTAAATAGTCAATTGGTGTTATTTTATTGAAATGAATTGTAACAGGAAACTGTCTTGAACTCAACTATGAAAAAATTTGAAATATATTTTATTTAAAGTATATCATAGCTATTATTTTTATGGATACCTACTAAAATTATTGGTGGTTTATCGAAAAATAATTTTTCATTTTTTGAAAAGTCATCAACTTTAAGAGTAGCTGACATAATAATTAACTTTAATGGATTAGATCTTTTTCGACGTAAACGTACAACACGAGATAAAATTCCAATCAGTATATCTGTAAATATTCGTCTTTCATGGGCCTCATCTAAGATAATTGATGAATATTTGTTAAGTAAGAAATCCTGAAAATTATTAAAGTAATATTTAATGATGTGTTATATATACCTACTTAATTATAATCAAGACATCAAAATTAAAATTTTACATTTTGAATTTCTTTTAATAATACACCATCAGTCATAAATTTTATTTTTGTATTAGGTCCTACATTCCCCTCAAAACGTATTAAGTATGATACAATGTCTGAAGTTTCATTTAATTCTTTGGCAACACGTTGTGATACAGATATTGCAGCAATACGTCTAGGTTCTGTGACACCAATCATCATATTTTCACTAACACAACAATAAACAAAAAATTAATTGATATTAATATATTATTATTAATGATATGGAAGAGGTAATTTTAATTTTATTAAATAAGTGTATTTACTTTGCATATCCAGCCTCATATAAAAATTGAGGTACTTGAGTAGTTTTTCCACTTCCTGTTTCACCAACTACAATAATGACATCGTTTTCAGAAATTGCTTCCATTATAACTTGTTCTTCACCAATAATGGGCAATTTTGACCGAGATTCAATAATTTCTGGAGTCCGGTTGATTAGTATTGGCTGTTTCTTAACAGCACAGTTTCTTTTAGCGTTCATTTTGAATTTTTAAGTTAATATTTAAATAATCTGAAATAATATTCACACTTTACATAGTAAATTTAAATTATTTGAAATAATTTCAATGATTTCAGTTATTATTTTCACGTGGTGAAGAATGTGATTATATAGAACCACAGTTAGTGATAAAAAATAAATGATAAGGAATAATTTTGGTCACGGTCTTAAGGCCTTCGCACACGCTAGAGTTTTATTGCCAGAACTCTAGTGACATAGCTGCCAATTATAACCAGAGGCGTGTAAACACGCAACAGAGTTAATGCCAGAGTGGAATTTTGTACTCTGGCGAACTTTAGTGTCTGAGTACTTTATCTACCGTGTAAATGCTTCGAAATCTTATCTGGTTTATTTGGTTGCTATCGCTGTCAATCTGGTTGTCGGCTAACCATATCTATAACTCTAGAACAGTGTTTTTCAACCTTTTTTATGTTACCGCCCCCTTGAGTAGGAATCAATTCTTTAATGCCCCCCTATGTGAAAATTCTATAATTAATGGTATGGGCTGAGGGATAGGAACGAAGTTAATGATTTAGAAAATTTGAAAAAAAATTTGAATAATTGTCTCATAAATAATGTTTTCATTTATGTTTTATTTTTCATATTTTTTTAATTATAGTACTAGTAAATTAATTAAATTAAACATTTGAAAAAAATTAATAATTTATCAATTTTATTTTATAGTAATAAATACATTTTTTAGTTTATTTAGAAAAATATTACTTTTAAAAAAGATTTAAAATCAAATAGGTAAAAAATATTGCTTTTATTGTTTTTGTAGATATTTGCCCATGTATTTTTGTAGTAATTTTTTTTTAAAAACACGTTTTTAACAGACTGAATACTACGAATATAATAACAAAAACTAATACAACATGTGCGGGTCAAATCAAACGGTTTACTAATAGGTTGGTTAATATAGGTACCTATAATAAAATACCATAATAAAGATAATAAATGTATCAACAATGAAAGATATGTTATTGTGCATTGCTCAACATATAATACCTATTAGTAACTAATAGTTATTATATGGATTATCAAGTATGAATTATTTTTAGTTCACACCATTTACAACGTTTTTGCATGAATACGCTAACCACCCAAAACTAGTTCACCGCCCCCCTACCGCCCAATAATAGTTCAATACTCCCCAGTGATACTTCATCGCCAACTGGGGGCGATATCGCCCCCCGTTGAGAACATAGTTCTAGAGTCTAGAACATAGTTTCACACATATATGATAACTGATAGTTTGATATTACATAAATAAAAAGTATCTACTGCCATAGACATTAATATATACGTATTGTGTTTAATATATTAATATTAATATGAATATTTCTACTAACTAGTTTTCTAGTCAATATTTATTTTCTAAATACTATTGAATAAAAATGGAGTCCGACGGAAAAAAAGGAGATTCGTTTTTTGTAAAAGACAAAAAAGCTCGTAAAGCTCGATTAATTCATGAACCATGGTCAAAACATGATATTAATGACTTAATATCACTTCATGAAGATAATCCAATTCTATAGGATGTATCGTTAAAGGGATATCGTGAAACTCTGAATAAATACATGAGTGACTAAGTACTATCACCTGTAATTTGATAAAAATGGTTAATAATAAAAATATATTGATTTTTATATATTTATAAATAAATAATCAGAGTTGTATCAATTTTATAATTTTATATAATATAGAAAGTTGTTTGAAGAATAATTTTTTAAATAAAAAAAAAATTATTATACATCATGTATATTTAATTAACTAGAATACCAATATTTAAATACTTTTAACTAAATTATTTAACTCTGTTTAATAAAAAAATGTATTAAACAGATAAATAAAAAGGTATTTACAAACTAAAAATCTTAACAGATGCTAAATAACGCAAGGCTATTTCTAAACGTTCCCCAGCAGAAATAGCATCTCTCATACATGTATTTTGTTTTGTAATAAATGGACCAATAATACTCAATAAATAATCAAAATCAGATGATGACATATGTAAAAAAATTTTGTACATTGCAGATTCAGCACTTTTTAATTCTAAATTAATTTTTCATAAAATCCATATTTTAGCCTTTAAAAAAAAATGTTTTTGTTCATTCAGCTTGTTTATTTTTCCTTTTATTTTGTTTTCCCACTTTTTGTTCTTCATCTAATAATAAATAAACAACAATTGGAGTTGTTGTTTTGGTTTGAACAGACATGGTACCTATTGTTCACGGACTATTTTTATTAAATATGTATTTTATATATATTTCTTTAATATATAGAGAAAATTGTATAATCATTCAGTAGTCATAATCACTAGTTGTCTAGTACAACTCTAGACAGATAAACAAAAAAATGTCAGGTGTAAACACGTTGCAGAGTTTAGGGCAGAGTACATTACCAGAGTTCTCTGGCAACGCAATTGTCAGAGAAAAAAGTGACATATATTTATTTACGTGTAAAGTGTATGACAGATTTTAACCAGCTCTACCATCAGAGTTCTGGCAAAAAAAACTAGCGTGTGCGAAGGCCTTTAGAAAATAGGTTAGTTAAGATAGTTATTTTCTAAGACCGTGATTCTGGTTACAGCTGTAGATAACTATCATAGATTATAATATATATTATATATCATATTATTATACTTCAGGGGCATATTTAGACTAACTTCTAGGTGGGTGGACTGAAATGTTTTCTTTAATTCAGACTCAAAATTTATAAGTAAAATTTTTGGTAATATTTAAATCAGGCGAATCCTTAATATTTGTGGTTTTTTTTTTTAACCTAATGCCGGATCCACTTACAATCGACTTTTGTGTAGTTATTTTTTAACACCTGTCTCTATTTTGAAAGTTACGCTTCTATTTTATTTGATTTTTCACTGGTATGGATGCGATAAAAAGCCCAATTCATTACATTCAACATTGACCGTGATGTTACCACTGATCATTGGGACTGATAATGATAAAATATAAGACATACATCATCATACGCGTCCGTTCGCCTTCAATTATTATACTTCAATATGTTTATATGTAATTTTTCTTATCACTCATATAAATATTTATATTTTATGACAAACATTTTGGTAGAAAATCAAAATTGTTAACTAATTCGATTTCGTTATAAAACGATACACATTAAAAAAAATGTTATATGTACTTCTCACATATAATTAATATGGATTAAGGGGGGTGATCACCCCCTTCATCGTCTAAAATATGCTCTTGTTATACTTACGGTTTAAAATATACCTAAATATAAAATAAATAAATATAATTATATTTTAATATATATATATATATGAATATTTTAAACTGTGATCATACTATAATAATCAATGATAATATCACTAAATAGGTGGTTGGCGTCAGTGGCGGACGCAGGGAGGGGTTTTGGGGGTTCAACCTCCCCCCCACGAAATGAATGGATGATTAATTTCAAACGTAGTTATCCTACCTTATGTACCTTAAAAAAAATGAATTGTTCAAAATACGATTAAAATATGGTAGAAAAAAATGTTTTGTTAAGAAAAGTGAATTTGTAATAATTTGTAATTTTCCAAACGTTCTAAAAGTTATTGCTACTTAAAACTCCAATTTTTTAAATTCCATGATGGCAATATTTCGTAAAAATAATGCATGTTTGTAAGTCGCTTATTATCAGTAAATAAAAGTATGTAAATATACGTAATCGATATAATATTTTTTATAATGGTACATTATGATTGACGGTATCCCTAAATTTTGTGTTGTATGGTTATGTGATAACAATCGACAATAGTTTATCTGTCGTCAATAGTCAATTATTTCAAAATAACAGTAATTTAGAGGGGGCACGGGTAGGCACATGTCCGGGGGCGTCAAGTTTCAAGGGCAGTAAAATATTTTAGCAAAATTAATTTTAAAAATTATGTAGCTAATGAAAAAATAAAAATAAAACAATAAAAAAATGAAATAGCATGTTTTATTGTGTTATAATTTGTTTAATTTGTTAATTAAAAGAAATATTTAAGGATTTTCATTTATAAGTTATATTTTAATATTAAAGAATCTCGATTATGAACGAAATAATAAGTGTTATATTATTATTATTTATTTTTTATTTTTTTTTAGGGAAGGGGTCATAAATTATATGCCCGGAGGCGCCAAATTTTTAAATACGGGCCTGACCACGCCAGAAATGGTTTGATACGACGAAGAGAAACCTGTCCAAAATAAACACCTTTAGACATGGCAACGGATAGGGATCATTGGCAAGGCCGGATTAAGTACCTATTGATCCCCAAGCAGAGACGTATATAGGGGGGGGGGGCGAGTGGGTACCATCGGGCGACACATTTTTTTGGAATCAAAGGGTGGCAACAATTTTTTGTAACCATCATCTATTTTCATTTGTCAATCGAAAAATTTTAATATTTAAGATTTTGTACAGTAATCACATGGCGATTTTTATTTTCATGATAATATTATAAAAAGTTGATCGCGTAAAATTCGTAGATAATACATTTTAACTTTCTTGAAAATCGTATAAATATACGTGTAGGGGTGGCAATAAAACTGTACCTGGGGCGTCAAAACTCTAAATATATCTCTGGCCCCGGGGCTGCAATTTTATATGGACACTTTTGACAAAAAATGCTTAACAAAGCTGCTCGCTACGCTCGCAGAACAATACATTTTTTTAACTATTTCACAAATTGTAAATTGCATTATAAAATTATAAAATTAATAGGTGTATAAAATTTATGTCCATAAAATTACTAATTTTAGCAAGATAAAAAATGTGTATCAGCTTAAAATTGTTTGGGCCTCTTTCCTTGGGTATATGAAATGGTCCCGTGGCTACCACCCCGGCTATACCCCCCTTATTTCGGCCTTGATCATTAAATAAGGATTGTAGAAGCGGCAAAAGACATTAGTGGTTTATATTAATAGGCCAGAAGAAGAATAACAAGCTTAATTTATATTTAACAGACGTGTGTTTTATAAATTAGTCGAAAAAAATTCGTAAAATTTGTAATAAAGTTCCAAAATTGAGAAAATTCGTTACATTGTGAGAGTTTTGACCAAAACAACTTCGTTACATAGAGAGGACAAAAATAGATTTAATTTTTCATTATATTACGAGATTATCAAGGAAACAATAGTTTTATCCGTTATATTGAACTTCGTTATACCGCGAGTTGATTATAAGTAGTATAATTACCTAAACATTTAATATTAAGGTTAGTAAACAAATATTGTATAATTTTTAAACATGTATTTTAAATCAAATAAATTATGAATAATAATTGCGAATGATAACCTACAGTAGCTATGAGTCTTGAATAATCCAATCCACAGGTAACCATAAACGGATTGTGTCATAATTTACTGCAAATATGTACGTCGTATATAATGAATTAATAATATAATATTAATATTTTATATTTATAGCAGTGACGTAGTCATACTCGTATGATGAGAGGGGGGACAATTGTCCAAGGGCGCTAACTTTTTTACAATCCCCTCCTAGTAAACGAACGACATAAGAAGCAATAATATTTCTGTCACTAGGTGCGTAAAACATTTGTTAAGCTACTGATTAATTGAAATAGAATTGGCTAACAGTAGAATCTAAGCTGAAAAAGCCATAACTACTACAGAACATAACATAATAACCTCGATAACAACAGTACAATTAGAATGGATTTATATTTATACACACATTATGATTTTTAAATAACTACATCCTGTATGAACCTAATGTCTATATGGATATATAAAATAATAATATATTTATAAGTTGATGATTATTCAAGCAGCATCTGTATATAATTTGTACATAAATATAAGCAGGTTTCCGTGCAGTCGTTTTTCTAGTTTTCAAGCAGACAGTTCATTAATATTTTAATTTTAAAAATACAATTTTAAGTTAGTAATATTTTTAAATTGTGAGAAGTGATTTGAGTGCTTAACAAATGGTGTATTTATGACGGATTAACTTTTTTTTTCTATTTTAATTGAAAACCATTGTTCGTGAGATTTTAGTGAGTTTACTGATATTGTAATAAAATCATTCAGTTTCTTGACTATTATTTCATAAACTCTGTGAATTGTAAATATGGCCAATGACGATTTGGATGTATACATTGACAGTTATTCCAAAAAATGGCGTCAAGCCTTATTATTGTTGCTAATGACTGGTACACCTGGGATATTCAATGCTATACAAATATCATCATACGTATTCTTAGTTGACAAACCTTCATATTGGTGTGATTTACCGGTTTTGAGAATAGCAGGATGGAGTGATCAAATGATCTTAAATGTTTCTACACCGTAATGTTGCAATTTTATATACAATAACTAAAAATATTAACCTTCATTCAAATTATACATAACTCAGTATATGAAACATATCAACACATACAATTGCATGAAAAATTCACTATTTATAAATTACTATACATGAAATATTATAATCGTTGCCTAGTATTACAGTAATTTATAGATTAACATTTAAAAAATATGCTACTAGCTGATTTCATTTTTACTGTTCTAGGCACAATTTTTTCAAATAAATATTAACATTTTGTTAAAAAAAAAATGTCTCGATACCTAACATTTTTATTTAAATTTAAAAAATTAATGGCTATAAAAACATCAATACTCGTAATATATTATAATATTATATATATATTATATAATATTATATAATAAATATATTATTAATATTATCGACAAAAAACTGAAATTCTGTGCCTAGAGATAAAAAATTGCTTGACAATAATTTTTAATTTACACTTTTATTTGTTTAATTTTTTAGAATTATTTGTTATTTCAACTTTTTTCTTCAGAACAATTTATTAACTAACATAACATTTATTTTACAAGGCAATTTATTGCTATTATAAT